ACGGAGGCCTGGGGGGCTGCCGTCCTGTCGCCTGGTGGTGGCAGTGCAGCCGGCGTGCTGACCCACCCCTGCTGTTGCAGGCAGCTGATAAAGGAAGCAGGAAGCGGTATGAGCCATCAGACAAGGACAGGCAAAGCCCTCCTGCCAAGCGAGCCCACCTCTCCCCAGACCGCGGTGAGTGTCCCCAGGCTGGTGGGCCAGGGCAGCAGAGCCACACGAAGCACCAGCAGGACCTGAGTAGTGTCACTGCAGGGCCTCGGCAACCTATTGACACTTTAAAGTGGTTAGGAGAGCCAGACCCTGCATGGCCAGCAGTGGTTTGAATCCCAGCCCCAGCAGCAAAAGCCCAGTACATCCACGTGCACAGAAGCCTGGCAGATGCAAAGACGGAAGAAGAGGGGTCGCAGCACTACCCCGGGGAGGGGTGTCTTCCCTCTGGCAGGCAGTTACACCTCCTGCGATAGATTACAAAGACGGGGACTCCCGGAGACCGTGATCGTGGAGTTTTATCTCCCGGTACTGAGCAGTCGGGACAAAAACTCCGAAGAATTTTGAAATACTTATGTACTTAGGAATAACAGTGTGTGTGTGTGGTGGGGGAGGGCATGTAGCATGGTGGTTAAGGCGCTGGACTCCCACACGGCCGACTGTAGTTCAAGTCCTAGACTTAGTGACCTGAAAATCACACCAGACGCATGTGTGTGCCCGCCCAAGCTCCTGAAAGGAGAATGGAGAAGGGACTGCGGTGTGGTCATCCCCCCGGGGGGTGATCTCTCGCTTTCCTCTTGTCTCTGTCTCTCCCGCAAGTGCACATGCCCTGGTAAACACTGAAAGGGAGAGAACTGCAGGCACCGCCCGTGGGCGCAGACCCCTCTGAGAGCGACACGTGGCGGGGCAGCTTGGCGGCCGAGCGCCGGCCGGGAGCTGCCCAGCGGGCCCTGCAGCGCCCCATCTGTCCAGCACAGGGGTGGATCCGGCCGCCTCCACCCTGGAGCCGACCCTGGCCTGGAGAAGCTGTCCTCACTGACCCTGGCCCCAGTCCTCACTTGGTGTTTCACTTTGTCCCTGTGGTCCAGGTTCTCGGGACCGGAAGGCAGGTGGGAGAATGGGCTCCCCGAAGCCAGAGCGGCAGAGAGGCCAGAACGCCAAAGCCCCTGTGGCCCCGGCAGACAGGTGAGTCCCCAGGGGCAGCAGGGAGCTGGGTGGGCCAGACCTGCGTGGAGCCTTGGTGGGGCCCAGTAGTCCCTGGCTGGGCCAGGCGCAGCCCTGACCCGCCACCACACACCACCCCTACCCCAGCTTGGACAGGCTGCTGCTGCAGGCTGGTCTCTGCCCTCGAGGAGCCCTGGACACGGTGGGGCCTGGGACCCTGTCTGTGGGGGAGGGCGTGGCACGGCAGGCCAGACTGGCAGTCTCAGGCTGGCCTACGGGGGGGGCCCCTGTCACTCCCTCACCCCAGCACACGGGCGCA